GCAGTCTTGGGATAGGTGCTGCCTTCTGCCTTGTGACTGTGCATTTGGGAGAGCTGTGAGCACTGTCTTGGGACTATGTACGCTAGATCCCCTTTCAGTTGAGACTTTTTCAATGTTTGTTCCTGTTTAAGATACCTGTTTTGCCTTTCAAGTTCTAGAATAACTTGTTGCTGGCTGTTGTGTTATTGCACTTAAAGGCACTGCAAAGTCACACAGAAAGGCTCGATGGCTCTGAGGAAAGATAATAGGTGTCTGTGCTATTTATGTATTGTAAACTGTTTGAAATTTGGATCTTTTCCAGTAAAGTGTCAGGGTGGTTACCATCTGAAGCTTGTCTCATGGTTTGTCTCTGTCTAGTTTGGTTTGTACTGTAGAAGTGTCCAAGTCACAAAAGTCACCACTAGCAAAAAGTAGGATGTGCACCTGCTGTGTGCACAGAGAGGCAAAACTTGAGGTCTGATTGTGCAAGGCATTTCAGCTCTAAGTGTGTGGGTTCAGTTGGACTAATCAAATTAATTATGTGCTATACGTCTTTTCTGAATCAAGCCTGAATAAATGGCTAACTGCTTAGAGTCTTCTGTGTTAGAAGGCGTGTAGGTGGAGTGCTGTTGTGACAACTATGTTTGTGTCCATATTCTGGGTATAAATTTAAGATCTGAGCTTTATTTCAGTGGTTTGTCAGTCCTACACCTTTTATAAACATTCAATTCCCTTGTGTTCAGAACAGAGACTATGTAGCAGCAAGTAAATTTCAGAAAGATGCTACAGGTAACTACTTGGTATTATAGTGTTAGAGACTGTAGTTACAATAATGTAAATTTTCAAATGTGATTTTACTGGTGTGACACTAAAGTAAAATACCACTTTCTGGCCGAGTATATGAGGCTATGGTATTCATGCAAGAAATGATGTCATATTTAGAGCTTAAATGCAGGAAAAAGATCTGTTTCAGCACCATCACAAGAGAAGAATACTCTCTCTGGACTGTGTTACCTGTGCAAAGTTAGCATTCAAATGTTTCAATCTATGTACTGTAACAAAGAAGCTATTACTAAATAAGATGGGAAGTTTTATCTTGAGGTCTGGTAACAGCAGCAAATACAGAGAGATAAGTTCTGGTTTATAAGCTTACTGGAATCAAGACAGAAGAAATACTGTATTTATATGCTAACATAACATGCCATAAATTCAGATACAGTATTATCAGCGAATACACTGACACTTCTCATTATTAATGATTCTGCTTTTTTCTGTTCAGTCTAGATTCATGAAGGATAGACCTTGCATTGGAATTAAGGTAGTACTTAAAACACATTAAAGCCAAGTGTCCAAACCTTCATAATCAAGGGATTACATTGGTGTTTGTGCAATGGGTGTTCAAAGAAAGATATGGCCATGAACCCTGGTTGAACTTCCGATTAAGGGAATGTTGATTCCCCCACCGTCCCCCAGTACAGATTAATTTTCGTTTATGGCAATGAGGTGTTACTATTCTGTTTATAAACATTATCTGTGATTCTTAGCCCACATCTTGCAGTTCTTCGTACATTACTTTCCGCCTTTACATGATTGTGCCAAGTTTTAAGTGGCTTTAGCCCTTCTGTTTGTGCAGGCTGGTGTGGCATGCACTTGTTTGTGCCCATGCAAATGCATAACTGCCTTCTCCCATTCTGATCATGTCTGAATCTTCTTGTGTAATTTTTGGGGTCACTACCTTTGAAAAGGTACTAGGAGAAAGTTTAAGGTTAGCTTAGCTGTTCTGAACTTCTTTTACTTTGAGGCTGTGCTATAATGTTTTGGGTTTGGGGCCTTTTTGACAGTTTAATTATGTGTAAGTGTTTCAAATGTTCTTTGGAGTTGCTTTGATTTGTTGCATTATTATAACTATGTATTTGACATCTAGTAAATACCCACTTCATGCTTCTAAAAATGAAGTATGCTTTAAAATCATGCTCAGAACAATGAGTTTGTATATTTTAGTATGTTAGTATGTATACTAACAGTTACTGTGTTTTCCCATTGGAAGAGGAATTAAAAAATTGCTAATTCACCTGTATGAACTCTACATAAAACCCCGCTGTGAGAAAACTGATGACACAGCTATAACTATAGCTGCATGAATACTCCAAGTCTCTTTAATATGACATCTTGTTCCCATTCGCACTTTAAAAATTGAACACCCAATAATGACACTCATATTCTCCCCTTCCTCAGCATGCTCTCAGCAGCTCATAACCTAACTTTTTCTCCTCTAGCTCTCCTTGCCCTTCCTTTTCTCTTCACTGTTCACCTCATTTGCATTGGTGTCATATGATCTTTCTGAATGTCAGGTAAACGCAGACTGCAGTCAGCATTACCAAATTGCTTTCCTGCCAAAAAAGTCTCTTTTCATGTACATGACCCATCATCTCACAATTAGCTGCAAGTCATTCTGATTCCCAAATTTACAATGTATTTCCTATTTAATGAGCTATTAGACATTATACACTTTTAAACTTCATCTTTTCTGACTAACTGCATTTCTCCTGATAATTATAGCTTTAGAAAGAAACAATTAATTTGAAACCACTTCTGTAACAGAAGTGGCATTATTTAGATAGCATTCCTCCATATCCATGCTCTAGGGATTTTCTCCTTAGAATATATTTATATTTGGAAACTCCTGGAGACCACTATATGAGTCCAACAGCCACCACGGTGTTATCAATAATATAGCCAAGGCTACTGCATAACCTATTTTAATAGAACACAAAAGGAAAATAGATGAATAATGGATGAAGTAGCTAGTTTTTGCTTTGCCTAATGAAAAAAAAATAGTTTATGTGCTTTCTTCACCCCAGAGAATGCTTTGAGTGAACTTAAGCACAAACACAAATAATATTCCATATATATTGCATAGATTTAGACATATTGGAATTGTATTCTTTTGGTAATGATAATATTAAATGTGTTAGAATAATTCTTCAAATTCAGTGGTTGTCCAATAAAAAGTTTGCAAAAATTGCAGATGACTCAGTAACAATGAATGAGTTTGTTCAACTCTTGTGGCTCACAGGTTCCATTACATCTGTGTATTTATTAAATCCAACAATATCTACTAGTGCAGGCTATATCATCCTGGTTTTGTCACTGCATTTAATGATATCTAGTTAGTGGATACAAACTAAATGTATGTGCAGCCTGCCAAATGCTTACCTTGTGCTAAATCCCAATAAGCTTTACATGAATTCTAATATTTTTGTTTTTCCTTTGTTAGTTAGAGCAAAATATGGAAATGATTGACAGAAGGGAACCTTATCCATGCCTCTGTGATGGAAGTTGGTTGAAATGTACATTTTAAAAAGTCTTCATCTTTCAGATTTGAACCTTATTTTTCAACTGCAGTAAGTGTCTAACAGACACCCTTCATTGGTCACGAATCAGAGCTCATACCTCATTCTCACAGTTGCTTTGTGGGAACAATATTGAAAACATTCCTGGGAGAAAACTTCCTTTCTCTGAATCAGTAGATGTTAAATGCAGATTCAAAATGAGTGCAAGATACATATGATTGAAAAAAGTGCTGAGAAATTGAGATACTATGCAGAATCCTTGTCACCTTTGTAGCTGAAGGGTGTGATGGGTATCCTCTGCTCTGTTGGATACTGTAAGTTCACACCTTATGCACCTTTGCACTCCTGTTTGAGTAAACAGCTAAGTACACAGGTAACTAAGTAATCAAGTAGATAACTTTACTTCCCTCATTTCTCTTGAAGCTGGAACTTTTTGGTTCATCACTGCTTCAGTTCAATTGCAATCTTTTCTGATTTCTTAGCATAGTAATATGACAGGCCTAGTTCTGTCAGCTGAAATAATAAAATATTTCTCACTAGTGAATGATTCAGGTAATTCAAAGCCAGATTTTTAAAGTAAAATATTTTTTACTCTCCCAAACTTCCTACCCATTAAAAAGAGAGATAAAATAGAAGTCTGTGTATACCCAATCCTACCTAAACTTTAATGTTTTATTGGAGAAAGTAAAACGCTATGATTTAATGCTGTGTCCACAGCTATTCTGAGTTGCATATTTCAGTCTCTGTCTTTCTTTCAGTGTCTTAAGCAATTGTTGGTAATTCATGGCCTCCTTCCTGGAGAGATGATTTGTAGCTGTCTGGTTCTTTTAATTTCTGTATGTATTCTGGTCTTGACCAGAACATATGTAGAACTTCTGAAAAAAAAACATTTTTCCATTTACTGACCAAACTATTATGTCTTTAGGTTACTCTCCCTTCACAGATATATTTATTCTTCTTGTTATTTACAGCTGGTTCTTCCCCTTGCATATAAAATACATTTACATCCCCATAAGTATAACAATCCTTAAACCACTATGAACTGATTGTATATGAATAGCTATGTGACAGTCAGAAAATTAGTGTATATCAGTCTAAATTATCAACAGAAACCATGAGATAAACGTACATAGTTTTTCTGTATATACAGTATATTCCTGGTTCAGCAGGGGGCTGTAAAGTTCAGATCCACAGTGATGATCATCATAGCAATGGCACATTGTAAAGTCTTACAGGTACAGCTTTCTCTGTATTACCACTTTTGGGTTGTTGTTTGTTGGCTAATTAATGATTTTTCAGTTGGTCTTTGCCAAAGGATGAGTTAGACCTGCCATAATGATTTCAGGTATTAGACTACAGGTAGTTCTGGAGGTAGTTCTGTTGGAACTCTCTGTGTTGGTTCCCACAGTGTGACTGTTTCTGGTACAAGTTATTATTTGAAAATCCTTTTTCTCTTTGGTTTCTCCTTTCCCTTCAGGTCAGGAGAATTCTTGAACTTAATTCATTGTCCATGAGGTAAGTGATTGGAGCCCACTGAAAAACGAAATAGCATAGTGGACAAACAATGTCTCTGTTTTGTTTTTACCAGCTGTTGCTGAGGTTCTCCAGTGACTGTGGTCTTGATAAAGGCTTTCCATTTTTATCCATTATGTCTCTTTTGTGAAGAAGCACAGAAGTTTTTCTGTTAAGGAGCTTCAATAGTGGCCGGAGTCAGAAACAAGTGGGACTAGAATCTAATAGAAGAATGAAATGAAAATGTAAGAAAAGTACTACTTCGTAATTTGACAAATGCTTTGTCATATTCTTTCTGTTGGTTCACAGTAGCCAATGTTTCACATAACACTGTTATGGGAGGACTTATATAATGCTAATGTTGTAAAGACATTGAATAGTTGTTTCCATTTTGGAGGAAAGAAACCTGGCCTCTGCCTTCTGTTCTATTTTTATTTTGTGCTCTTTTCATATTTTTGGAAGACACTTCATTAGTGTTTCCCAGAAATGTCTAACCATACACTGGAGAAAAGCATGTCTGCCTATGACTTTCTATGGAAGCCTGGTTTGTAAGGCCTTTTCATTTTTAACTAGTGTAAATACTTTCTGGCACTGAAGAGAGGAAATCTGTAATTGGGGAAGAGAAGAATGATGAAGAGAATGTGCATGTCCTTCCTTTTAATTTAAACAATCTTTAACTTAGGCTTCTGTCCAAGAAATACTTTCTTTGAAAAATGAAACCAAATCTGTTGTTTCAGAATTATGGAATATTTTGAGTTGGAAGGGACCCATAAGGATCATTGAGTCCAACTCACAACTCTTAAGTGAAAGGCCCATAAAGAGATTGAACCCACAGCCTTGGCATTATTAGTACCATGTTTTAACCAACTGAGCTATTGGTAGCTTCAGATTTTTTGATTTAGATTTTTTTTAATAGATTATTTTTCTTTTTTAAAAATTGTGTTTGATTAATAACTACATACTAATAATTAGGAACTTCTATATACTTATAAATACAATCTTCTACAAAAATTGGATGCCCCTCACCCCAGCAAATAGTAATGCTGACGACATTAAGTAGTCATATAATAAGAGGGTACAACTCCTTGGTTTTCTTTTTACCAGCATAATAATTTATAGTAGTAATTTTCTGTGACGGTTTTAATTTGCCAGTTTAATATGCAGTGATCTTGTCATGATTATTGAACTAGGTCTAATTTTTTCCCTTTCTTTGCCATTTGAGGGCACTTCCTCATATCTCTCAGTGCTTTCAAGCCTCTAGCACTTTTTCTTTCTTTGAGCACAGCCATCATTTTGCCATTCCAGAATACATGTTGACCTCCAACACCAGGCTTTCTTGGTGGGTCTAACTGATTTGTGTCCAGAGTTGAATAAAACAGACAAAATCCAAAGTTATTTTTAATATTAAGAATCAAATATAGTAAACTATAAAATGGATTTTAAAACACAACCTGTCCTTTCTATCTTATCTCTTGCATTTGCTAGCCTGGGTTGGTTTGACTTCAGCAGTTGCTCACAGATCTAACATAATAGCTTTTTCAGAGAAAGCTAAAGGACTAGAGCAACAGACGCCATAATCATTAACGTTGGTTATTAAAATAGCATCGTATCCCTTCATGGTTAACTCCATGTGTTCAGTTTCTCTGCTAGCCTTCAATACTATAAAGCTTTCAGACTGAGCACTGCCTACCTCCTTTTTAATTTCAGTCTTGGCGGTGATGAAGGAGGTTTAAAACCTGCTCAGATGGCCTAGATCTGTCAGAGAAAAGAGAGTCGAACCCTTCACATAACCATTGCAGATACTCTGAAATTCACTTTGTGAATCTCATATAATAAAAGCTCTTTAGGTGGCTGATTTTGATTGAAAAGGTGAAGGTGGAACCACCTTTCAGCATTTTCAGCTACTAATAAAACTTGTATTTGGAATTTACCTTTTCACTGATATTATCAAATCCAGAAGCTGAATAACAGCCACAACTGTGTTTTACCACCACCTTGTGTTACTTGATTGGCCTGAATATCTTTTTCCAGCAATTAAATTTTATGACTTGGAATGATACAGCTAGGCATAGCAGTAGTCTCGTAGGTCTCATATTATTATGTTTCTCTGCCTGTTCAAAAGTATGGTAGTAATTTTATTTTCGGAAGTTATTCTTTTTAATCTTGAAGCCTCTGCTCAAAAATGTATTAAACTCTCTGGTATTTGGAGAAGCATAATAATGGTGTATCATCAAATAAAATTCCTGAACTAGCATACAGAATCTGAAAAAAAGACCTTTCTAGACATCTCCCTCTCTTTTTCAAAAACCCCCAAAACCCCACAAGCTACACAAGATTAAAAGTAAATACACCTTTAGCTGTGATTAATTTTGTTGTCAGATAATGGACCTTGCAAAGCTACATTCACAGTTACAGTATCCTATTTTAATGGCAATAGAAACTCCTTCTTTAGAGACTGGAGTGATCTGTGAACAGAGTAAAACACTTTGCTTGTCACCTTGTTCTGGCTTTGTGAAGTTTAAAGAAGAGTCCAGTGCTGCTTGGTTTTAGGTGTTGGAAATTTGGTCATAACCTACCAAAAAGGACAGTAGAAGCAGGATTCAGCTTGAGATTGACACCTGAAATAGTTGTTCAGTTGCAATGGTCTACATGTGAGGTATTTGCTTTAGCTTCATAGTCAAGTGAGATCCAGGGTAGGGTTTGAGTGCTTAATGTAATTTAAAACTCTCTAGAGCATCTTGTCTGGTCTCCAAGTGCTACTTCAGATGGGTGCAGAAGCCTGTCTGAATCAGATGCAAGATACCTTGCATCACATCTGCCAACTCCTTGTCTTGGACATCTCAGATAGTTCTAGATGGTTATGTTCAGGCACTGGAATCCTACATCTATAGGCATGTAGAATGATTCTACTTGCTTTAAAACACATACCTACTTTGGATGAACTGAATTGTAGTTGAAGTCACAGCAAGTTGGTCAAATTGAATAACTTGCCTCAAAGGTAGAATTTTAACTAATTGTAGCGAACATTTTAAATGTGTCAAAGTATTTAAGATACTCGAATAGAGTTTATAGCAATGTACCAGACCAATAACATGTCAGACATAATTTTTTTCTCTGTACTTGGCGCTGGTGAGGCCACGCTTTGAGTACTATATCCAGTTCTGGGCCTTTCGCTACAAGAAGGACACTGATGTGCTGCACTCTATCCAGAGAAGGGCAATAAGCTGGACAAGAGTCTGGAGCACAAGTCTTATGTGGAGCAGATGAGGGAGCTGGAGTTGTTCAGCCTGGAGAAGAGGAAGTTTGGGGGGACCTTCTAGCTCTCTACAACTACCTGAAAGGAGGTTGTAGCTTGGTGGGGGTCAACCTCTTCTCCTAGGCAAATAGTGATAGGATGAGAGGAAATAGCCTCAAGGTGCACCAGGGGAGGTTCAGGTTGGACATCAGGAAGAATTTCTCCGTGGAAGGGGTGGTTAAGCATTGGAACAGGGTGCCCAGGGAAGTGGTAGAGTGACCATCCCTTGATGTGTTCAGGAAACAACTGGATGTAGCACTTAGTGCTAAAGTTTAGTTGGTAAGGTGGTGATCAGTCAAAGGTTGGACTTGATGATATTGGAGATCGTTTCAAACCTTAATGATTCTATGATTTAGTTAACTGAATTTAGTACTTATATTTCAATGTCTAAATTCAGGTGCAATAATCTCAAACATATTGGTACCTATATTACTGATATACGCATTTGGATGATACATGATACTCTCAGGCACGTGGTGACTCTTGGGAATGGTCCTGTGTGGGGTTAAGAGTTGGACTCAATGAGGGACCTTGTATGTCCCTTCCAACTCTGCATATTCTGTGATTCTGTGATAACAGAAAGAATAATAGCATCACATACAACAATTATGACATTAATTAACCTTGGAGGAAATTTCTGCTAAAACTGTTATTTTAATATCTTTTTTTTTGTTTGACTTTACTGATGTAGTCTAATGCAAAATCCTAATGTGTAAAAATATACCTCTCCTCTCCATTGAAAATCTGGATCTTCGGCTGAGGTCTGAAAAATCTCACAAGTTATGAGCCCACTAGTCAAACCGGATAAGCTAGATTTATTTTTTCTGGTAATTCTTAGAGAAATAAATAATCAGAGCTTTTTATTAAAATAGTAGTAAGAAATAAAAAAACCTGATTTACCTACTTCTTGGTTATTTGCATGGTGGCTTTTGTAGGACCTTTATCAATCAGGATACATATATACTGTGTTTGTAGGGAATATCTGTCAAGAATCAGAAAGTGCTTTTTCCATTTTAAGTGGATTGCACTATTAACTTGGGTTCGCCTATTTACATTAAATTTTAAGCTTTGTCTTTGTAGATTTTGGCAGGTTTTGTTTCGATTGCTATATAGATGTATTTATAATCAGCCTCCATTTCTGGAATAAAAAAGGAAGGAGATAACGGAACTTTGGAAGCCCTTCTAAATGTTTCACCATTCCTTTCCTCACAAGCCTTCTCAAATGAGTACATGAGCATCATTCCCTAGAAAAAATTTTGCTGCTGTTACTTAGTTCTTCATACAGTTTCATTTCCTCTCCATAGCAGCACAGAAGAGAGCATCAGAAAAACTCTCAATTAGTCTTGACTTCCATCCTACTTCCAGTTTAAATGTAGACTGGGAAGTCTACTTTCTGGAGAGCTCACTTGTTTCTTTGTAGTGTTCATCTGACCTGCTGAGCTCTCTCAACAGGACTGCTTAGTGCTATTGGGAATGAAACTTCAACATGAGGAGATAGCAGATATTACCTTGGGTGATGCAACTGTCTCAGAGCCAAGAAACCAAATCTTCCCCAGTCAAAGCATTTTTTGGACAGGAGGTCTGCATTTTCAGCTGATGTCTACCCATGGTACTTTATGTTAGGGTAGTAGAATTCTTAGAGCTTCTACTGACCTCAGTTATAATTTGCAGTTCTCCAGCTGGGAACTTCCTGTGAGCACAAAGTAAGATTGAATGTGCAAATTGTGATACGGCCCGCATAACTTACTGTCATTTATGCATGTAAAAAGCTCATGTGCGTACAATTCAGCCCATATGCTGAAAAAAACAACACTGTATTTTAAACAAGTTTCCTAGTTAAATCAAAATTAAACTACTTGTTAATCTACCTGCCCTGAAGACTCCCCTCTCTCAGATCTGTATGAAACCCTTCTCTGTACTAAGTAGGTCAAAGTTTCCTGGAGATACACC